AGAAATAACTACTACAAGTCTACACTGCTAATCCTTTATTGTGTAATGTTGTAAATCACATGGAATCAATCGTTTCAACTGTACCGCTTTAGTGAATGTCATTTTCTATTCAAAATCCATTACCTCCTCTGTGTTCACGGGAGTGGTTATCCCGAGAGCAGGGCCTCTAAAGCACTCTTGAATAATATTAATGATCAGTTAATAAACTATGTAGTACAAAAAACACCTTAGTCATTCAGATGGACGATTTTTTTAATGGTTTAGAAAATATTTAGTGTTCTGTATTAAATTTAGACCAGTTATACTTCTGTAGGATTATACCGAACAAACATTAAATCTACACTGTTATAAGAAAACGGGTTGAAATCCTCCCAAATAATACCACGTAAACACTTAAGTACTCCAGCATCTTAAATTTTCCAGTTAGAATTAAAAATAAACAATGTCAAAAAACTCTCCTATCCTTGACAAAGTTTACAAAACACCCCAACATCTCTAATTCTTTTCCTAGCTTATGTCTCAAGCCCTTATACCAAACGCTATCAGAAGTTTTTGTCACAAAATACTATTCTTACGTCACTTCCTTCATCTAGTTGAATTACAATGAAAGTATAAAATGCTAGGAGCTGACAAACTGTAGAGTCATAATTATTATTTTAGTAAACCATGATGTTGGAGTTGCGCTTCTTTTTCATCTTAGTATAATTAGTGTCATTTTCTTACTTTTTTACACTAAAATAAAGGTCATAGACATAGTTCTGTAACTAACAGAATCACTTCATCTGACCTTTTCTGTCATATCTTTAAACAATATTGTCTCTTTTCCAGGTAAAGAGGAAAAACCTGAACGGTGGTACCAATATATGGTTGTAAATTAAACTGTTGGATATTCGGTGAAACATAGTCCAAATTCAGGAAGAAGTCCATAGAGGACCAAACTGACTGTGCCTCTCCATTGGCTAACTTATTTTTGTTTTTGTTCGAGGCTGAATGTATCGCAGAGCTTATCAAGGCAAGTCACAAAGTCGTTTTATTTCACTTCTAAATAAATTAATGACATTTTGGTTTCCGGGTTCCTGTTTGGGTTAACTATTACTACCTAGAGTCAAAAATGCCTAATTTTTTTTTTTTTTTTTTTGGGGGGGGGGGGGGGGGGGGGGACTTGTATTTTGAAACATTTTTTTTCGTCAAATCTGATGTTAAATCTTAAGGCTTTGGTACAAGTGTTCAGAGGCATGCTAATGTAATATAGAATTTTTAGTATTGTCGTTTCAGTAGGAACTTATTATTATTTCCTTCAGTATAATATTTAGCACCAATGGATATTTCTCATTTTTATTAATAGTTCTATTTTTAATTCTAAACTCAAATCTATGTATATTTTTTCTCTTAACCTTAACAGAGAACGACTACTCCAGTAATTAACACCCAATTATCTAAAGGTGTTAAGGGGCCCTCAGAAGAGATAACTAGTTATTACCTGTGTTACCTGTATTAGCTGCCCTAAATATTAACATGAAATTGAGGGGAAAATTTAGGGAAACAGTAGGACTGATTTATTGAACATTTATAATTATTTTATAAAATTAAATAAACATGATGATAGTCATTAATAAACAATTTTCCAAAACTGGGTTATCATATGAAATTTATTAATTCAATTCGCATATATAGATATATATTGTTGGTATATAATAATAAGTAATGGTTATATAGAAATATATAAAAATCAATCAATATCATTTTCATATATCATAATAGATCTCATGATATGTTTCTGTAATTATTGATGATAACGTATCATATCAATTTGGTAAATTGTACTTTTATTGGGCTTATCAATTCAATTCGCATATATATATATATATATATTGTTGATATATAATCATAAGTAATGGTTATATAAAAATCAATCAATATCATTTTCATATATTATAAAAGATCTCATGATGTGTTTTTATAATTATTGATGATAAAATATCATAACAATTTGGTAAATTGTAATTTTATTGTTTTTTTTTTATGAACACAGCTCACACAAGATGTTGATATCACTTAAATGTAGACTCACACAAGCTAATCACATGTACGGTACAAGGTAAAAGTGTGAAACTGTGAAACATCCCAAGCTGGCAAAACACATGTAAGGAAACATGGACCTAACATTCATCATTCCAAAGTTCAACAGCAATGGCGAACGCACAGATCAATGTGGATTTCATCACCAACCGAAAAGGAGGCCAGAACCTAGCCTTAGACGGATATATCTACAGAGTTAACCGTAGAGGACCAGACAGAGTATTCTGGAGATGCACCGTAACAAGATGTCCAGCTTCCATCACCACATCAAACAACATTCCAGTAGCATTTGGTAGACAGCCCCATTTCCACCCTGCCGACCAGGTACAAGTAGTTGCCAAGCAGATTATGAACCAGATTACCAAGCGCTGTGCTGAAGAGATAGCTCCAATACCAACACTCTTCACAGGCGAACTCAACAAACTCCGTGGCCAAGACTGGGATGATACCAGCAGAGAAGTCTGAGAGCGTCTTACAACTTTCAACACAGCTAAATCATCATTGTATAGATCCCGCCGAAGACAGACACCACAACTACCAAAAGCCGTGAACGACATTGTACTTGGAGGGAAATGGACAGAGACAGCAAACCGGGACAGATTTCTACTATTTGATGACAGCCAGGATGCCAAAAGAATTATAGCCTTCGCTACTACCGAGAACCTCCACTACCTTGCAACATCAGAAACATTCTGATGCGACGGAACCTTTTACACATGTCCCAGCCTCTTCCACCAGATCTATAGTATCCATATCCCAATTGACGAGAAGATGACACCAGTCGTGTATGCCTTTCTCTCAGGAAAGAGCCAAGCCATCTACAGAAGATTTCTCCAGCTACTAAAAGACAAGATGGCTGAACTCAGCTTAAGATTTTCTCCAACCAGTGTCCTAGCCGACTTCGAGACTGCAGTCCACAACTCAGTTAGAGAGGTCTTTCCAGATACTACAACCAAGGGATGCTTCTTCCACTATACACAGAGCATATGGAGAAGAGCACAAGCAACAGGCCTACAGATCCTCTACAAGACAACGACGCAGTGAAGACCTTAGTGAGACGCGCAGCAATCCTACCACTTGTGCCATTGGAAGACACTGAAGACGTCTGGTTCCAGGCCTTAGAAGATCGAGATGACGCAGACCTTACCCAGCAGACACAGACCTTCACAGACTATGTAACAGAGCAGTGGATAGAAGGAGACCGACAGCTTTGGAACCATTTCCATACCGAAGGACCCCGTACCACCAACAGTGTAGAAGGATGGCACAGCAAGATAAAGAAGATGACACAGCACGACCATCCAAATATATATTCCACAATCCAGATGTTCAAAGATATACAGAATGCCAATGAAATCAACAGAATCCAGAGAGTAGCCGGAGGAACCATGCGACCACGTCCCAAGAAATATATGAATATTGACCGACGCTTATCGACACTGAAGGAAAGATACCAGAACAGAACCATTGACCTGATGACATATGTAGATTCTGCATCCCAACTCATCCATCTCGGATAACTGTTCCAGTCATATTGAAATATGTTGAATAGGTTAATTGTAACAGAAATCTTTTTTAATCTATCTGTCAATATCTTTAATTAACTCAAGTTGTATCCAATACATGTGCAATATAAATATATAATATTATATTTAATGTGCTACATACATTTGTTACAATACTATGATATGATAAAATATATAGTTTATGTACCTGAGCTTATCTTGTGTCATTTTGTAATAAGACTTGTTTGTTTATGCCTACTCCCCACTGAGAGCCCCTCAACACCTCAAGATCATTAGGTGTCAATTACAGGAGTAGTCGTTCGGGGAACACACCTGTCCAGGTAAGTTTCAATTATCTACAGGTAAGATTGACGAATAAAGTGAGTTGTTGTTATACGTGATTCAATTTAGTTTATTTCCAAATGCAGTACAGCATATAGGATTTACAAATCAGGGTACACAACAATATCAATACAGTTTATGCAACATGACGGTGGAGAACACTACACACAATTAAAACGTACATAATTTCATCAGGTATTCTGACAGTAGCAATTGTTTCCCAATTGATTTCGATTTGATCTCACAAATTTTCTAACTTATGAGATACAAAAAATTGTAATCAACTTATTGGATACAGACAATTTTACGGATTTATAATACAGTTATATAATTTGTAGTTAAATTACAAAAATATTAATTCATTACATCATCATCATCATCATCATCATCATCATCATCATCATCATCATCATCATCATCATCATCGATGTCATCATCATCATCATCATCATCATCATCATCATCATCATCATCATCATCGATGTCAATTAATCATCATCATCATCATCATCATCATCATCATCATCATCATCATCATCATCATCATCATCGATGTCAATTCATCATCATCTTAATTATCATCATCAACAACAACGTCAATTATCACCATCATCGACGTCATTTCATCATCATCATCATCGATGTCAATTCATCATCATCAATTCATCATCATCATCATCATCATCATCTTACTTATCATCAACAACAACGTCAATTATCACCATCATCGACGTCATTTCATCATCATCATCATCGATGTCAATTCATCATCATCAATTCATCATCATCATCATCATCATCATCATCATCATCATCATCATCATCAATTACATCATCATCATCAACAACAATCATCATCATCATCATCATCATCTTATCATCAACAACAACATCAATTATCATCATCATCGACGTCATTTCATCATCAACATCATCATCAGCAGCAGCAGCAACTTTAATTCAAATCAGTTCAAATTCAAATCAGTCGAAAAAATTAAAACCAATATCATAAACATGTATTTAAGATGGCGTAGAACACAACAGACACAGTTAAAACATAAACCTCTACATTTACTAACTTGTTCTAGCACATGAGACCCAAGGTTTCATGAAGTACTCTAGCGTAAATCTGTTCCTGCTTATTACAAACGTTGTAGCGGTAGTTTCAGGGAAGTTGAATACACACGGCTTCTCCTTGAAGAAGTCAAATGTTAGTTTTGATGTTCTTTGCATAACTGCACCACTTCCAGGAATAAACTGCAGTCCTCTTTCTCTGGCGAGTCGACGTAGCTCATCTAACGGCCTTCCATTAAATCTTACAGATGCGTCCATCCAAAAGACGAAATCGTGATCCTTCAAAACAGTCTGGACAATTATCGGTTTCCATGTATACCCCATTTTCTCCTTAGTATGTTTAGGGTAAAGATCGAAATCAAAACTTCGCATTTCACATTTACAATAGAGTTTCATTTTTTTGTGTTGCTCTGCAGAAAGACCAATATCGAAATAGATCATCTTTAATTCCGGATGGACATTCAATAATTTGTGATAATTATTGATCATAGCGATTGATTCCCCGTAATGATTGCTGGACGCGGCAGTAACAAAGATGGGATATTTCGCAGGATTTAGTACTGCTTTAGAGAGTCTGTCAATTCCATTTTGGTCGAGTGACAATCGTTGAAGATATTTTTGAGGGACAGTAAACTGGTATTTTGATACAATATCCATGTTTTCAGTTAACGTAGTGTTTTTTGCATCACAGGGTACTTTTGGAAAAGCCTTCTTCATCACCGGTATGTTATATTTTCGAAATATGTCATCATAATATTCCGCCCAGTTGGTTTCTTGTTGAAATACGGAAAATAAAAGAGGACGAGGATCTTTCAGGAGTTGTTTTACTTTTAAAGTGTCATCAATACAAAAGAATACCAGCATGCTAAATAAGGCCAAGGTGAGAATTTTGTTTTTTGTCAACATCTTGAGTCCAGTTCAACACTGATGAAGTAACTGAAAGTAAAGGAGAATTAACATATCATCAGCTTGTATGTATCAATCAACAGATGACGTATACATGTCTAGACCTACCAACGAATACTGTACAGCTTATCTATTTGTCTAGACCTACCAACGAACACTGTACAGCTTATCTATTTGTCTAGACCTACCATCGAATACTGTACAGCTTATCTATTTGTCTAGACCTACCATCGAATACTGTACAGCTTATCTATTTGTCTAGACCTACCAACGAATACTGTACAGCTTATTTATTTGTCTAGACCTACCATCGAATACTGTACAGCTTATTTATTTGTCTAGACCTACCATCGAATACTGTACAGCTTATTTATTTGTCTAGACCTACCAACGGATACTGTACAGCTCATCTATTTGTCTAGACCTACCATCGAACACTGTACAGCTTATCTATTTGTCTAGACCTACCATCGAACACTGTACAGCTTATCTATTTGTTTCTTCAAGAACGTTTTTGAAATGTTTTATAAACTTTACAAACAACCAGTCAAACTCACGGACGACACCAAACCTTACAAATAACCAGTCAAACTCACGGACGACATTAAACCTTACAAATAACCAGTCAAACTCACGGACGACACCAAACCTTACAAATAACCAGTCAAACTCACGGACGACAGACACAAAACTTACAAATAACCAGTCAAACTCACGGACGACACCAAACCTTACAAATAACCAGTCAAACTCACGGACGACAGACACAAAACCTTACAAATAACCAGTCAAACTCACGGACGACACTAAACCTTACAAATAACCAGTCAAACTCACGGACGACAGACACAAAACCTTACAAATAACCAGTCAAACTCACGGACGACACTAAACCTTACAAATAACCAGTCAAACTCACGGACGACAGACACAAAACCTTACAAATAACCAGTCAAACTCACGGACGACGGCAAACCTTACAAATAACCAGTCAAACTCACGGACGACAGACACAAAACCTTACAAATAACCAGTCAAACTCACGGACGACGGCAAACTTTACAAATAACCAGTCAAACTCACGGACGACCCCAAACCTTACAAATAACCAGTCAAACTCACGGACGACCCCAAACCTTACAAATAACCAGTCAAACTCACGGAGACACCAAACCTTACAAATAACCAGTCAAACTCACGGACGACATCAAACCTTACAAATAACCAGTCAAACTCACGGACGACAGACACAAAACCTTACAAATAACCAGTCAAACTCACGGACGACACTAAACCTTACAAATAACCAGTCAAACTCACGGACGACAGACACAAAACCTTACAAATAACCAGTCAAACTCACGGACGACGGCAAACCTTACAAATAACCAGTCAAACTCACGGACGACACCAAACCTTACAAATAACCAGTCAAACTCACGGACGACAGACACAAAACTTTACAAATAACCAGTCAAACTCACGGACGACCCCAAACCTTACAAATAACCAGTCAAACTCACGGACGACACCAAACCTTACAAATAACCAGTCAAACTCACGGACGACACCAAACCTTACAAATAACCAGTCAAACTCACGGACGACACTAAACCTTACAAATAACCAGTCAAACTCACGGACGACACCAAACCTTACAAATAACCAGTCAAACTCACGGACGACAGACACAAAACCTTACAAATAACCAGTCAAACTCACGGACGACACTAAACCTTACAAATAACCAGTCAAACTCACGGACGACAGACACAAAACCTTACAAATAACCAGTCAAACTCACGGACGACACTAAACCTTACAAATAACCAGTCAAACTCACGGACGACAGACACAAAACCTTACAAATAACCAGTCAAACTCACGGACGACGGCAAACCTTACAAATAACCAGTCAAACTCACGGACGACAGACACAAAACCTTACAAATAACCAGTCAAACTCACGGACGACGGCAAACTTTACAAATAACCAGTCAAACTCACGGACGACCCCAAACCTTACAAATAACCAGTCAAACTCACGGACGACCCCAAACCTTACAAATAACCAGTCAAACTCACGGAGACACCAAACCTTACAAATAACCAGTCAAACTCACGGACGACATCAAACCTTACAAATAACCAGTCAAACTCACGGACGACAGACACAAAACCTTACAAATAACCAGTCAAACTCACGGACGACACTAAACCTTACAAATAACCAGTCAAACTCACGGACGACAGACACAAAACCTTACAAATAACCAGTCAAACTCACGGACGACGGCAAACCTTACAAATAACCAGTCAAACTCACGGACGACACCAAACCTTACAAATAACCAGTTCACGGAAAGACACAAAACTTTACAAATAACCAGTCAAACTCACGGACGACCCCAAACCTTACAAATAACCAGTCAAACTCACGGACGACACCAAACCTTACAAATAACCAGTCAAACTCACGGACGACACCAAACCTTACAAATAACCAGTCAAACTCACGGACGACACAAAACCTTACAAATAACCAGTCAAACTCACGGACGACAGACAAAACCTTACAAATAACCAGTCAAACTACAACACTAAACCTTACAAATAACCAGTCAAACTCACGGACGACAGACACAAAACCTTACAAATAACCAGTCAAACTCACGGACGACGGCAAACCTTACAAATAACCAGTCAAACTCACGGACGACAGACACAAAACCTTACAAATAACCAGTCAAACTCACGGACGACCCCAAACATTACAAATAACCAGTCAAACTCACGGACGACCCCAAACCTTACAAATAACCAGTCAAACTCACGGACGACACCAAACCTTACAAATAACCAGTCAAACTCACGGAACCTTACAAATAACCAGTCAAACTCACGGAACATTACAAATAACCAGTCAAACTCACGGACGACTCTAAACCTTACAAATAACCAGTCAAACTCACGGACGACAGACACAAAACCTTACAAATAACCAGTCAAACTCACGGACGACGGCAAACCTTACAAATAACCAGTCAAACTCACGGACGACACCAAACCTTACAAATAACCAGTCAAACTCACGGACGACAAAAACTTACAAATAACCAGTCAAACTCACGGACGACACCAAACCTTACAAATAACCAGTCAAACTCACGGACGACACCAAACCTTACAAATAACCAGTCAAACTCACGGACGACACCAAACCTTACAAATAACCAGTCAAACTCACGGACGACACCAAAACTTACAAATAACCAGTCAAACTCACGGACGACACCAAACCTTACACAAACTCACGGACGACACCAAACCTTACATATAACCAGTCAAACTCACGGACGACACCAAACCTTACAAATAACCAGTCAAACTCACGGACGACACCAAACCTTACAAATAACCAGTCATACTCACGGTCGACACCACAGCTTACTTATTACAAGTCATAGTCACGGACGACACCAAACCTTACATATAACCAGTCAAACTCACGGACGACACCAAACCTTACAAATAACCAGTCAAACTCACGGACGACACCAAACCTTACAAATAACCAGTCAAACTCACGGACGACACCAAACCTTACAAATAACCAGTCAAACTCACGGACGACACCAAACCTTACAAATTACCAGTCAAACTCACGGACGACACCAAACCTTACAAATAACCAGTCAAACTCACGGACGACACCAAAACTTACAAATAACCAGTCAAACTCACGGACGACACCAAACCTTACAAATTACCAGTCAAACTCACGGACGACACCAAACCTTACATATAACCAGTCAAACTCACGGACGACACCAAACCTTACAAATAACCAGTCAAACTCACGGACGACACCAAACCTTACATATAACCAGTCAAACTCACGGACGACACCAAACCTTACAAATAACCAATAATGTTTTACTGTTTATTCTTAACTTTTGAAAGAAGTTCTGAAATTCCTAGACTACAGGAAACCTTGGTGAAATGCAAGAATAAAATCAAACATCCTAGACGTTCAGACAGATGGTGACATCCATCAGGATAATCCGAAAAGCTCTGACTGTGTTTTAATTTTGCCTTGGGCGTGGTCGATAGTCGGAATTCATTCCTGTATGGAAATACTAAATTTCCCTTTATTAAGGAATCTCTCTAGAATTGTCGTTTTTAAATTTACCTAAAAGGACGAATCTAGAGAGCACCCTAATGTGATGACTATTGCAACTATACTAGAAAGAATTTACGAAAATTAAATGAAAACACTTAGTTTAATACATTTTGTCGCATAGACGTGTCATTTTTCCATTGATCATATGGTACAATCGGATTTTATTATTACTTTTATTAGGGGATTAACATCCTCTGTTATGGCCTTTAGGCCTTTCAGAAGACGAGAAAAGATAGGAGGGAATAGAAGGAGAGAAAGTATGTAGTGAGAGGAAGGGAGGGGGAATATAGGAGAGAGGGGGGTGAGTCGCCTGTACCTAACACCTAACCTTAACACGGTAACATAGAATTTTGTAGGCGTCTCTGGTGTCCTGATGTGTCCCTAACCGACTTCGCGTCCAAGGGTTTTCTTCTGGTGCTTTACACCGTCTCGATCTTCATCCGGCGATGGAGATAAGTGCCGTCCGAGGGAGGAGGGGGATAGAGAGTATGTAAGGTGGTGTCTATTTAAACGGATCTACTTATATTTTGTTTTAGGTCCGAAAAATTGTGCGACCTCTGAAACTATGGCGTTTAACTTAATGAGCTAAACGTAAGGGACTTACGACTGCCGTTAGGCGCTGGCCCTGGGGAAATATTTAAATCAGAAAGGATTGGGGATCCTGTTTATTTGAGGTGCACCGATATGAAATTTTGAATATATAATTCTATCCTACCGCATTTTAATTCCTATTTATTCATCAGGGTTATATATATACATATATATCCTACGCTATTCATATCACTGCCCTAATGTACTATTATAGTATAATTTTGAG